TGAAAAGAAAGATTTCTTGAAAATAGCAAGGGACCACTAGAAATCAATCCAGCAGCTGCTAGATGATACAACAACGAATAACATAAGATTGACTGGAGTCAATAAAAGAGCAGGCAGGTCAGGGATTTAGCATAGTGGCATAAACGCCTGCACTGTAAGCGTGTGGTTGTGAGTTCAATTCCCAGTACCAAAAATAAACAAATAAAAGAGCAAGCAATAGAACAAATGGTAAAAACAAACAAACAAACAAAAAACTATTGACACACATGCAGACTTCTCTGGCAGGGAAAAAGTATTCGACATACAGATAAATGAGGTATATAGAACTCCTATTAGTCATGATAAAAAAAAAACTTACAGCCAGACATATCACAGTCAAGATCTCAGAAATTCAGCAGGAGAACAGAATACCAAAAGCTGCTAGAGAAAAGAAGCAAATCACATCAGAATCATAACTAATTTTTTGTCCTTCTGAAGTCAAGGACAGCTGGGAGTAAAGTATTTCAAGTCCTAAGAGAAAACAACTTCCAACCCAGACTGATGTACCCTGCAAAAGTATCTTTAAAAATCGATGGAAAGGGCTGGGGATTTAGCTCAGCGGCATAAGCGCCTGCCTTGCAAGCAGGCAGTCGTGAGTTCGATCCCTGGTACCGATAAAAAGGAAAAAAGACAAAAAAAAAATCGATGGAAAAATAAGATATTTCCAATGACAAAGAACATCTGAGGAAATTCATGAACACCAAGCCAGGAAGAACTACAACTTCATGAACTCCAACAGAATGAATCTATCAGGCAAAGCAAATAATTAAACAAAGAGGAATAAAAGCCAAAAACAGGAAAATAATGTGGCAAGGATAAAACCAATATATAACAGTTATTATCATAATGTTAAAGGGTTCAATTCATCAATCAAAAGAAGCAGAGTGGCAGACTGGAGCAAGAAGCAAGATCCAACACTATGCTTCATACAAGAAACACATTTAATTCAAAAAGAAAATTTTAGACTAAAAGTCAAAGGATGGAAAACAATACTCCATGCAACAGGAACCTGGAAAAAAGCAAAGGTAGCTATTCTATTTACAGACAAAGTAGATTTCAAGCCAAGACTGATTAAGAAAGGCAAAGAAGATCACTATGTCATTGTAAAGGGAACAATCTGAGAGTAAGAGAGAACAATCATAAATTTATATGCAGCAAATGCCTGTGCACTCAACTATATAAAAACATTAATGGACATGAAAAATCAAATAAGCAACAACAAAATTGTATTGGAGGATCTCATCATGAATAGATCAACTACATAAAAACTCAACAATGAAACATTAGAACTAAACCAAACTTTTGAACAAATGGATTCACTGGAGGTTCTCTCAGATGCACATGGGATGTTCTCCAAAACAAATCACATACTAGCTCATAGAACAGGCTTAAGCAAATGCAAAGGAATTAAAATTATCCCATGCATATTATCAGACCATAGTGCAATGAAATTGGAACTCAGTGGCAAAAGAAACCACAAGAATTTCATAAACCTGTGGAAATTAAATAACAGCCTCTAACAACCAATGGGTCACAGATGAAGTTAAAGAAAAAATTAAGACAGTTTCTACAATTAAATAGTAATGCCATTAAAACATACTGGAGTTTATGGAACACACTGAAAGCGTTCCTATGAGGGAAATTTATAGCAGTGAATAACCACATCAGCAAAACAGAATGTGCTCAAATAAACAACTTAATGTTGAATAACAAGCTTCTAAAGGAGGCACAAGGGAAGCTTAGAGCTAGTATGAGGAAAGAAATTATAAAGATCAGAGAAGAAATTAATGCAGTGGAGACTAAGAGAAGTCTACAAAGAATCAATGAATCAAGAGTTGATTATTTGAAAGATTAAATAAAATCAGCAAAACCTTAGCCAACCTTATCACCAAAAGGAAAGACTCAAATCCATGTAATGAAGAATAAAAGGATAAAATCACAATGAATGCTGCAGAAATTCAGAAGATCATCTATACCTACTTTGAGAGCCTGTATTCTAATAAGATGGAAAATTTAGAAGAAATGGATGGATTCCTAGATACACACAAATTACTGAAGCTGACACAAGTAGATATAAAAATCTTAAACCAACATCAGTCAATGAAATTGAAGATGAAATTACAAATCTACCAACCCAGGCCCTGAAGGATTCACTGCTGAATTCTACAAGAAATTTAGAGAAGAGCTAATGCCGCTACTTCTGAAAGTCTTTAGTGAAATTGAAAGGGAAGCAATATGCCCAAATGCATCCCTAGAAGGAAACATTATTCTGGTACCAAAACCTGAGAAGAACCCAACTAAGAGAACTACAGGTCAATCTTCCCAATTAAACCTTCAATGAGATACTGGCAAAGAGAATGCAGCCAACCATCAAAAAGATTATATACTATGAGCAAGTATGATTCATCCCAATGATACAGGGATACATAAAAAAAGCAATAAATGTAATGCATTATATTAACAGAGCCAAGGATAAAAACCATACGATCATCTCAACAGATGTATAAAAGTATTTGACAAAATCCAACGCCCATTCATGATAAAAACTCTCAGAAAATTGGAACAAATGATCTTTATCTCAATCTGATAAAAGTCATCTATGAGAAATTAACAGTTGACATCATACTTAACCATCAAAAACTGAAAGCTGTCACTCTAAAATCAGGAACAAAACAAGAAAGTCCACTGGCACCATACTTATTCAATATGGTTCTAGAAATTTTAGCCAGAGCAATTAGACAAGAGAAGGAAATGAAAAGACTAAGGACAAGAAAGGAAGAAATTAAATTATCATTTTCCAGATTATACAGGAAAAGAAGGAACGAATTATCATTTTGTAGGCGATACAAGTAATATCTCCAAAACTCCAAGACTTATACATCTAATAAGCAAATCCAGTAGCATAACTGGATACATTCAAAAATCAGTAGCTTTCTTATATACAAATAACAAACTCACTAGAAAATTAGAGAAACAACATTTTTCACAATAGTATCCAAAAAAATTAAATACCTAGGAATCAATTGACGGAGGAACTAAAACATTGAAAAATGTTGAAAATATTGAAAAATACAATACTACACTGAAAACTATAGTACTCTATATTGAAAACTGTATACTGAAAATTACAGTACTCTGTGCTGTATAGTACAATGTATTCTACATTGAAAATTACAATACTCTGAATAAGGAGATTGAGAAGGATATCAGAAAATGGAAATATATGCCTTGTTCTTGGGTTGGAAGAACCCAAATAGTGAAAATGGCCACACTTCCAAATTTATTATATAGATTAATGCAATCCTGATAAAAATTTCAACAGCATATCTCACAGAATTAGAGAAAACAATCCTAAAATTCATGTTGTACTAGAAGAGACCTAGAATAGTAAAGGCAATTCTGGCAACAAAGGCAAGAAGATATCACAAAGGCAAAGTGATATCACAATCCCAGACTTGAAATTTTACTACAAAGCTACTATAATAAAAACAGCATGGCACTGGTAAGAAAACAGACCCGAGGATCAATGGAACAGATTAGAAGATGCAGAAAGAACTCCAGACATACTTAGGCATCTCATTTTTGACAAAGGTACCAAACACATTCACTGAAAGAAATATAATTTCTTCATATATGGTGCTGGAAAAACCAGCTTTGCAACACGCTAAAGATTAAAATCAGACCCATATCGTTCACCATGCACTAAACTAAAATCAAAATAGATAAAAAAATCTCAATATTAAAATGGAAACATTAAATCTGCTGGAAGATAGAATAGGTAGAACTCTTGAAGACACTGGTGTCAGCAAAGACTTTATGAATGAAATTTGATTACACGGGAACTATGTTATGGATTAAAACCTGGTGGTCAACTTAACGCTACCTGAATTATATCAGTGTGATGCTGAGCATAGATGTTCCACCTGAGGAAAGTTGCCAGCATAAATAGAGACGTGGAGAAACAGAAGCGAGGCATTGTGGGTTCTCCTACGTGTTGCTGTTCGAGCCTTTTGTTCTCCTGGAGGAGCTTGTCATGACTAGCTTCTCCAGTGTGAGTTTGACCATTGTCATCAGAGGAGCTCGGGACCTTGTTGATGAGAGTGGCTGTGGTTCATTTTGGAGGTGCTCAGGTCCTTACACTGAGCATTGCTTCCTGGCTCTGGAGGGGAAGACATGTGCCACTTAATCTCCAGGACAAACTCATCATGCTGCCTGGCTTTCTGGCACGTACTCAAATATTCTTTTAGTCGGAGGATCTCAGGACCTCTGTGTTGCTGAGGATGGCTGTGGGGCTTTTTTAGGACAGCCCTTGTTCTTGTTTTGAGCATGACTTAGCTCCAGCGTAGACCCTTCAACCTACCAGCACAGTTCCTTCACCCTGCTGGTACAGACTTTCTAGCTTGTACTGCTGACCTTTGGGCCTTCCCAGCACAGATCCAAAAAAAGACTGGTGTGAGTCCTTCTCGTGGGCTCTAAACTTCTAGGTGGACTTATGGGAGGCATTGTCATGGGCTCCAGGTCTTCATCTGGACTCATGTAGGACATTGCTGTGGGATTCAGGCCCTTGGCTGAATATTCTATGTCTTTAGTGTTGTGGACAGATTTCCTGCACTTTCTTGTATTTAACTCTGGGTGACTATCATAGAATAATATTATAAATTCTGAGTCCTGATTCTAATTGTTCTTCTCACAACCCCTGAATACAATACTATCCAAAGAATCAACAACTGAGATCTCATCTTATTAAAAATCTTTGAGGCTTTGCTCTGTAGATTGTCAGGTAATACTATGTCCAAATATAAGCATTACCCCTTTCCAGTCCTCACATATACTTTTGTAAGTTCAAGTACTGAACTTGAAGAAATTAACACTATGTAGGTATCTATCCTTTAGTAGATTTTCAAATATACTGCCAGTGTTGATTAGATATATAGAGACAAATATAAATTTAACAGGATACATTAATTTTTAAATTAGTCCTTTATTTTAACAATACCTTTTATGTTGATCATGCATCATTAATTAGAACAGCATGCTCTTTTGAACCTTGTGGTGAAAACTGGACTTTCTCTTCAATCTTTCAAACTCCTAATAGCTGTTTGTACATTCAAGAATTTAATAAAATGTTATGAAAATCTATGATAGAAGTATACTTCTTTGATAATAAAACATTTGTAGCTAGGCAAGTAGAAATAGAAAGTAATATAATTAATGGCAAAGCTCTACTAACAGAATGACTTAGGAAAGTCTATTAATTCAACAAAAGCACATTTCCCCCAATCCCCTAATTAATTGCTGGCACCAAACTAATAGATCATAACTGTTAACAAGCAAATCATTTTTTTCTGAAATTCATACATCAAACTTAGCATTCACAGGTCTATTTGAGGTAACCTGAAAGAAGTTTTTATTTCATTCCTTAAGATAAACTGTCTAGCACCTCTTATGCCAATAACATAACAGCGAAGGGCTGACTCTAAATCTTTTTGTACTTTTTATTAGTTTTAATGTTAAATGAGTGGGTAAATAGATTCATAAACACTTAAATATACTAGTTTGTGTTACACATTAATACATAAAAAGCTTTTTATTGGTCACAGTTTAAGAATATTTATATTAAAATAATAGAACTTACAAATCATTGGCTATGAGCCAAAACAAAGTCATGGACTCGGAATTAACTGAGTGATAGTTCTTGCTTTCAAATGATCTTCATTTCACCACCAAAAGCTGGAAGAAAACTGAGGTGAAAATACATCTTTATGACAATATGTAATGTATCAACTAGCAAGTTTATGACGTTAATTTTTTTGAATTCTGTAATATCCTACCTTTTTTCTCTTTTAAAAAATTTTCTTTTCTTTCTTTAAATAAAAAAAGTTAAAAAAATCTTTAAAGCTGGATTATTGAGCTAGGTTCGGTGGCACAGGCTGATAATCCTAGCACTTGGCAAGAGTGTCATGAGTTTAAGGTCAATCTGAGCCACAAAGTAAGTTCAAAGTCAGGCTGTATTACATATTGAGATCTTGTCTCAAAAAAAAAAAAAAAAAAAAAAAAAAAAAAAAAAAAAAAAAGAAAAGAAAGAAAGAAAGACAGAAAGTAGGAACAAAAACTGGATTATTGAGAAATAAATTAACTTTACATTGGAAAGTATAGTACAGACTGAAAAGAAAAGCAAGAAATGATAAAAGGGAACTTAAGTCAGCAAAGAGGTAATTAATGTTGTTATTTTTCCGGTGTCTCTACATTGTTTTAGGGTTCTGTGTATTTCCTCATAAACGTCTCTATTCATAGCTCTTACCATATGCAATTTCTCCAAAATTTTCCAATTAACTAAAGCTTGTTACCATATTTAGCAATTGCATAAAATGTTTAAACGATAATCTATGACAGAAATAACACTTCTTTGGCATTAAAACATGTGCAACCAGGTAAAAAGAAATTTTACACTATTGTCAAAGGCAAAGCCTTACTGCTAAACAGTATTTTGTGGTAGGGTCCTGCTGAAAACTGAAACCAGTGGTGAAATCAGACCTGTTACTCTCTGGGCACTTAATGGTGTGCAGTGGGAAAGACCTACTGATGGAGATTTATGTTCTTGCAGATTCAAGGGGGTCCGGTTAACCCTAAATGTTTCAGGAAAACTGAGTTTCAGGAAACAGTATTTTAGGAAAACCGAGGGGTCCTTAGACACCCTCAGGGCACAGATCAGTGCCAGAATTCCCAAAATTAGATAGGATTTCCCCCCATTTCATAATGGCCAACGAGGTAGACTATGAACAGCAGATGACAAGGGAAGAAGGAGCCTGGCACCATCACTGACTAAGGAAGGTCATGGGAGTTTAATTAAGGCCCCAGACAGGTTTTGCAAATTCCCATCTTTTCAAGGTGGCTACAGATAAATCTGCGTATCTAGCATAGACCCTGAAGGAGCTTGGGGTGGATATGGTGTGACTGGGAGGAAGGTTGATAGCTCTGCAGCCCAATGACCTCTGGACTGCTATTCACACTGACTGCATGTATTTCTAGTACCTCCCACATCTTGGAGGCTTATAGAGCATCTTGTAATATTGATTGAACGTCTGGAAAGGTGACCATGCCTTGTCTTACAGTCCAAGTTTTCTAGAAAGGAAAAATAACTAGTTACAGAAGTTACTGAAACAATATTTACACATATAGACAGCCAAACTTAATAAATAATCTTGCATCTTCCAATTGAAATGGCTTCATAGACCAACTAGAGATAACTGGTTTCCACAAAAATGCAATACTGATACATTACAAACAAATACTAGAAAGAGTGTACTGATGGATGTTGGCTTTTAAACCTCTAATAGATACACTACAGAAAATGTGTGCATTTTTTGGAAATCATATGTGTGCATGAATATATATATGTAGTTTGTTTGCTATTGTGTCTTTTCTTTTTTCTAATAGTTTCTCTTAAACTATATTAGCGGTGACTCTGAATAGATAACCAGTGGGTTAATACAAGACTCATTGCATGTTTTAGACAGATAAATCTGAACAATTTAACTGTACATTATGGCATGAACTTTCAGAAACGGTGTTTGTTATGTTTGTAATAAATATAGAATTATTTCATAGTACTTAAAAACAATAGCCACCACTTCTACCAGTTCCCACCAGGAGACAGCCTAAAGCTGTGAGTCTGTTGGAGTGCCGTTATGATTTGCTTTTTCTCCAGCGACAGAATGCTTCAGAAACTGACCAGTAGCACCAATGTATAATCTTGAGCGCATGGGCCACTTCTGCAAAAAAGAATATTGAAATAAGAACCAACAGTTAGTGTCTATAGCATATATAACATATGTCTGTAATATTAAAAATTCCAAATACCCCAGTGAACTTGCAATATAATATAAGTAACAACAATTATAATTCTGATGGAATAACATGAAAAAGCTTACTAATGCTAGCAATAAAAGTAAAAATATAGGACCAGGGGTTAAGCTCAGTGGCACAAGTGCCTCACTGGCAAGCATGAGGTCAAGAGTTCAATCCCTGGCACCAAAAAAAAAAAAAAAAAAAAAAAAAAGAACTATATTGACTTTGATTATAATTCAGAATATGTGTGCATATAAATAGGAACTGCAAAAAGTCATTGAGAATAAATATAGTTGAAGTGTAAAAAAAATGTACTCATGTTTTAATTTCAAACTAAAGCTACAACACGATTAAATGTAAAACACAGCTGTAAAAATGTGCTCAATTATATACTATACATAAGGTTATATAAAACTGTAATGATACATACAAGATTAGCATGGCCCCTAAGCAGAAATGACATGCAAACTCATGAAGTGTTTCATATTTTTAAGTTCTGGTGTTCTCCCGCATATTAGGGTGGCTATAGATAATAATATACTTTATATTTCAAAAATGTCAAAAGAAAGGGTTTTCAACGTTTCCAACTGGAGACATGATAAGTGTTTGAAGCGATAAGGAGGCTTACCTGATTTGAAACTTACATGATGTACACATGTCTTGAAATAACTCATTGTACTGTATAAGTACTTATAACTTTTATATGCCAGTTAAAAACAAAAGAGAGTAATAAGTATGTGACAATATCTGGAAAGTTTCTCTCTGGGGCATCCAGCAATACTATTTTAATGTTTCTAGGTGTGATAGGTGAATTTTCTACCATGTAGCTCAGATTATTTAGAGTCTTAAATTCAGATTATTCTTACTAAGAACCCACATTTTAAACATACATAAAATACCAACTTTGTGTTACTTGGAATTTAAATTAGTCCACTCCTACTCTCTCTATAACTAACTTTGTACACTATATTTGAGATAGTAGTAAGACTGACACTCTCTACTATTTTTGCAGATTAATTTCAGAGTCTTTTTAAACATCACTAATGTGCATTCTTATGTACAATATTCAGGTTTTATCATTGTTTCTGCTCTTGTCCTAGCACAGGCTACTAAACTGAAGTGTTTGTGGCTCATTCCCTGTGTCAAGACCTAGAAATGACGAATCAAATTTAAGTGCTATATTTTATTAAAGATCCCAATGCGATGATATTAGGACTAAATGTTTGTTTGCCCCCAAAATGCATATCCTGAAGTCCTAGGCCCTAAAGTGATTAACTGAGAGGTAACTAGAATTAGATTAGGTCATTACGGACTAGTGGACTTTGAAGAGAAACAGGTGAGTTGGTCTCTCTGTCCCTGTCTCCCTGTCACTGCCTCTGCCTCCCCTCTCCTTTCTCAGTGTGCATGCACCAGCAAGGAGATGCCATGTGACAACAGGGCAAAAACCAGGCCATCTTCAAGCTGGCAAGAGACTCCTTGCCAGGAACCAAACCCTGACAGCAATTTGATTTCAAACTTTCTTAGCCTCCATTCTATGAGAATATAAATTCATGTTGTTAAGACATCCAGTCTGTGGTATTTTGTGTGGCAGCCTGTAATGAATAGCACAGGGCAGAAATCAATTTTAAAGTACAGGACTTTTGACAATGTTGTAAACCAGTATTTCTCAACATTTTATAACCCTGTTTCATTTTTTTTGTTTTTGTTTTTTTTTCATCGGTACCAGGGATCGAACTTACGACTGCCTGCTTGCAAGGCAGGTGCTTATGCCGCTGAGCTAAACCCCCAGCCTCATTTTTTTTTCCCTGTTTCATTTTTATAAGCATAAGAATTTCTTGCTCAGGGGGATTGAGCAGGGGATTTAGCTCAGTGGCATAAGCACCTGCCTGGCAAGCGCGAGGTCGTGAGGTTGATCCCTGGTACCAAAAGAAAAAAAAAAGGGATAAAAAAAAAAAAGAATTTCTTGCTCAAATGTCAAATGCAATTTGAGAACTTTGTTAATTAAACACATATATCTTAAAATAAAAATATTACTGAATGCCTCCCTGGTAGTTCTCATATGTGCTACCCAGGCCCACTGTTTCAAATTGCCCTAAATGATTCAACAAAATGTGGAGACAAATGAAGGCATCTGGTCCTTACATCCTTGCTAGAAATAAGTAATTCATGAGCAAACATAAAATGTGTATGTGAACTTTTGCCTCATTTTCCATGGCCTTTTAAATAATAAAACTTTCCTTTATAAGAATTTTGTGTGCTTGATTTTCAAAAGGTCTGTAGTACTCTAATCCAATTTAGACACATAAACAGTTTTAAGTGTCAGAAATTAAAATGTAAATAAAATATTGGTTAGGTTGCATGTCACCAAGCTGCTAAAAAATATCAAGTGAATGATTTACATTGTATTTTCAATGGGTTAGCACTGTGTTAGCAATACAAATACTGAGCTTTCCTTTCTTTACTAAGACATTTAAAATCATGTAGCTTCATTAAACTTAGAAAAATCTAGCAAATTCACAAAGTTAATCTGAACTGAAAACCTTATAAATGTGCTTTTGGGAGAGTTAATTGACCTCCCCCAAACTAAAATCCTGCATTTATTTTTAAAATTTCGTTTATTGGTATTATATGGACAATGATTCTTCAGTGATGTGGCAATTAACAGAGACATTTGTGCTTTTCTCCCAAAGTCAAGTTCTAAAATACACTTTCTTACTAGTGCCCCAAAGGCATTAAAATAAGGTTAGGCCATGCTCCAAGTCAGTTTCTTAGACAACTTTTTTTGGGGGTGCTGGGCACATAACACTGGCTTCATAAATGCTAAGTACAAGCTCTACTAAATGTTCAATATCCCCAGGCTCTCATTTGATGTACTCTTAATGTAAGTCCTCAACAGTTTTGTTTTTTGGTACTGGGGATCGAACTCATGACCTAGAGCTTGCCAGGCAGGCACTTGAGCTGCTGAACTAAATTCCTAGCCCCAGTCCTCAACAGTTTTAACATGCTAATAATATTGGCAATAAGAACTGATAATTCAAAATTATAGTACTGTAATATTTGTTAAAAGATCTTTGTTAACATAGTAGGACTTAGTAAATAAACATAAAGTCATTTAGGACACCTATTAATAGTTTGCAATGAACCTTTTGTTAACCAAAAAGTAAAAATGATTAGTCTATTTTCATTTCTTTTGTATTCTATTTTGTCAGTATCCGTAAAATAATGTTATCAGGAACATCATTTTACCTTACAGTATTTTACTGTTGTTTATACAATATTTTAGTTTTCATCTCTATAATATGTTCATTTAAGGGAGGGACTAAGTCTTAACTTATAATTGTATTCATTGCTCTCAAATAGTGCTTTACACATAGTGGGAACTCAGATTTTTATTTTAAAATATTTTATTTACCATCATCAATTTCATTTTTTAAAAATCTAGCCTTCTATCATCTCCAGAATTATCATTTTGTTTTGTTTTGTGGTACTGGTGGTCGAACCTCAGGACCTTCACACTCAGCTTTTTTTTTTTTTTTTTTTTTTTTTTAAGAAAGGGTCTCCTTGCAAGGTTGCTAAGGCTGAGCTCAAGTTTGGGATTCTCCTGCGGTGGCTTCCCAAAGTGCTGGGGTGAAGGAAGTTCAGAGTTGTCTTTAAAAATCAGTAATTGATTCAGAGGACAAATGAGTTTTAATTTTTCTTAAAAAGTAGTAGAACTACAAAAACATTTGGTACATGAATCAAGTACAAAATAGCCTATTGTGCTTATTGTCACATTCAGGTATTGATGCTTCTAACATTAATCAAAGAAATCACTATAACTAAGGTGAAAACTTGATTTCTCATTCTGAATTATGTCTCCCATCCAAGTACTAATCAGGTCCGACTCTGCTTAGCTTCTAAGATCAGAGATCGGGCCCGTTTAGGGTGGTAAGGCCGTAGACCTAAATTATTTATCAGAGGAGGCATTTAACACATGCTTTTTGTATTAAAATCTACTTACTATTAAAAAGTTTCATAGAGCAAATGTCAAGTCAAAGTATATTTGAATAGCAATTTGATGCACACTAATTCAAAGCCCTTGAAAATAAGTGACTTTTCAAAAGAGATTATGAAACTCATAATGGAGGATAATTATGGAGGTCTATCATAAGAAATGATATTTCATTGTTTTATATGTAATACTTGAAAGGGCTTAAATCATGTAGACTCTATTTGCAAAATAAATTTTGTTAACTTTCACCCAACTGTAAGTTCAGTTAATATTAGAGTGTGATTTATCATATTTCAACAATGATCATCCAATAATTTATTGGACAATGACAGACTTAAGGCTAAGTCCTGACTTTGTATTTGTGTGTGTTAAAATACTTTAGAATGCTGGAACCAAAACTCTGAAAATTTAGGTTTAGCAAATACAGAGACCACATATTTTGAAAAGAAAGCCATATCAACAAGGTTTCAAAATAAGTTAAGGAGAAAAGGACAATGCAGAGGCTGCTGCAACACTGGTAGCATAGCCATATATGCCATATTAAATGCCCATTCTACCTATACGTAAAACAATATGCGACATGGGTTCTTTTCACTAATTCTGTACATTGCAATATATAAATACAGTATTTAATCAATTCAACATGCTAATTTATGAAAATGACATAAAATATAGTTTTTCTAATGTTCTTACTAGCTCTGTAGTCCATGATACTTAACCATTATTTGAATCGACTGGAATTTTACTCTTTGAAGATGCAGAATGGTCTCATTTGTTCTTATCATTTTACCCAAAAAAATTCTCCACAGTGTTTTCCTAGGCTTATTTAGGAGCAGATAATTCTATGACTCCATTTAATTTTTAAAATCTTTCAAACATTCCATGGAAGATACAATGGAAATGTAATTATGTAAGCTAAAAACTCAAGTTTCAGAGGGTCATAAATGTAATTCAGATACTACAAATTGTAAGGATGTGCAAACAAGTTCTTCACTACTTACCTGAAAATATGCAAAAACCCTTAGGCTGCCAACCTGGAAGCAGCTGGAGATTCCCCTACACAAGCACCCATTCTTTAACCACATTCTCCACTTCCATACCTGGGAACAGTTAAGCTGCAATCTAGTGCAGTAGGGGTTTGCCACCAGGTCACTTTGCTATTCTGTTCCCCTTCACCCTCGGCAAGGATGAGAGGTCAGAGACATCTGCCAAGGAGTAACAGGATCAAGATGTCCAGATCTCCGCCGGTTCCAGCCCCACAGTGCACCTTGCCTACCTACCTTGACCGGGTGCAGATAGCCATCGCCACGCAAGGTGCCCAGACTGGGGTCCGCCGACCCCTCTGCGTCGTCCTGCAGACTGCGGGTAAGATGCGCAATATAGGTGGTAGCCAGTAGCAGCACGTCCAGCTTGGAGAGCTTGGTGTCTGGTGGCACCGACGGCAGCGTGCGCTGCAGCTCCAGGAAGGCATGCCGCAGAGTCTGCACGCGGCTGCGCTCCCTTGCCGCGTTCGCTGCAGCCGGCCGCCCGCCTCCGGAGCGCGCACAGACCCCGGGGCCAGCTGGCCCGGGACGCCCCGGGCTCGGGTCTCGGGTGCTGGAGGCTGGAGGCGCAGGCTCAGCGCAGGCGCTGGGCGGGCTGCTTGCCCGGCGGCCGCGGTCCATGGTGGGGTCCAGCACTGCGCACGCTGCAAAGGACCGAAGGCTCGGTGAGGGCCGGCGCGGCCGGGGTGAACTCGAGGGGCGCAGCCCTAGCATTCGCACTGCCCGACGGACCCGTGTTCCTTTCTCCTGGCCCGTGTTCGGCCTTGCGGGGTTTGGAGAGGGCGGTCGGGGCTCAGAGTTTCTGAGCACCTTGGAATTAGGAGGGGCGGGCGCAGTGGAGTTTCCACAAATAAATTAGGCGCAAGGGCCAGCCGGCCCCCGCAGGAAGATCTCGGATGCACAGCCCGAGTTCGACACTTGTGGGCGAGTCGGGATTGTTGTCTCCCCAGCCCAAAGGGTGAAAGGGCGCGGGTCGTTCCCGCTGACCGCCATCGGAGGTGGCACCGGCCGCCCTCGGGTCATTCGCGCTCGGGAAGGGGGAACCCTGGCCTCCCTGGGACCACGACGCCCGCTACCGCTCTGAGCCGGCAACAGCGCGGCGAGGGTCAGTTCAGGATTCTCACCTTTCTTGAACCGCGGAGCGGAGATCGGCTGCACTGTGAGTGGACAAGGGCGTCGAGCCGGTCTGCTTGACCAGGGCCTGCGGGTCACCGAGGGCTGCTTCCAACCCGCGGTGTTTCTCGCTTTTTAGGTAGGCGTCCACCTGGCCACGCGTGGGTGTCCTGGCCCGCGAAGACACGTCGGGCACAAGTCAGCGCCCAGCACCGGGGGCTAAGCTGAGGAAGGCGGCGGTGCAGAGCCGCCCCTTCTGCAGTGGGAGAGTCATTAATCAAACCGTCTGGCGGGGCGGGGCCAGTCTGGGGGCGGGGCTAGGTCGGGGGCGTGGCCGTTCAGGGGGCGGGGCCACCCGGGGTTCCTTCCACCCGGACTCCGGAGCTTTCTGCGTCTCTCCTGTACTCGTAGCGCTTCGGCTCCCGCCCTCGCCGCGTCGGTGGCCCAGGCTCTGGGAGTCACCGCTTCTTGTCAAGGTCCTGCAGCCAGGGTCCAGTCTGAGTCCACCCTGCCAGGGGCGTTCGGCTGAGGCGGGGAACTCGGCCGTTTGCTTCCGCGTGGCATTTAACTTTCTGAGGGAAAATGTGCCACATCGAAGCGCTAGGCTTTGTTCCACCACAGGTAACGTTTCCTGCTGTCCTGCTAACAGCACCGTTCCCTCTCCTCAGGACTCCGCGAGCTGTTTAGGGAGGCGCTCCGAGACCTCGAAGGTGCTGGCGCGCGCTGCGCGAAGCCCGGGGATGGCGGCCGCTAGTCTTAGGGACGGGTCCCCGGCCGGCGGCTTTCATTGCCTCGGCGGGCGTCGTTTTTTCGTTTCATTATTCAGACATAAGCGTTTCCTGGATCCGCAGGGAGTGTCATTTGCAGCAGCGTGAGGAGGGACCCGACCCAAGGGTGCTTCCACAGGGGCGCTGCGCTCCCACGGCGGTGCAGGCCGTCCAGGAATGCGTTCGGCGGGCATCGCCACCCCTCGGGGGCTGCCGCGTCCCGTACCCGTCGCTTTCGCGGGTGAAGTTTCAGCGGACTTAGAGTACTTTCTAGCAGCGTACTTAGGACATACTTGAAACGATGTCTACAGTTTAAAAAACAAAAACGGAACATATATTCTCTTTGGAATCAAAAAGGAATTTCAAATTCAAAATATCACTGAAAGCTGAGTGCCTAGGCAGACGCCTGTACTCCCAGCTACTAGGAAGGCCGAGGCAGGAGATCACAAGTTCTAGAACAGCCTGGGCCACTTAGGGGCACCCTGTCTTTAAATTTAAAATAAAAGACTAGGAGTGTAGTTCTGTATTACAGCACTTGCCTAGCATACATGAGACCATTCCTAGTACTGGTGTAAGAAAAGTTAGTGAGGAAACTGCCCTTGTGTATGTGTACGTTTTTTAGTATTTTCCAATAGCTTTTTAAGTTTACAAATTGGAATTACCGAGCAATAGACACTAAGCACTTCTTATAAGTGTGTATACCAGTGCACACATTAGTGATCATCAGGCTTTAAACTCAGCACTCATCCAATACTTGTAATTAGATTTATGTTTTATAAAGAAGCACAGCCAGAGTCCATGGATTCAGAGGGACTTCTACTGAATAAGAAAGCACATCTTTGTTTTCTTACTAAATGCTGCACAGTGAGTAGTAAGATCCTTAAAGTCACACGTGGAAAGCAAAGCTGCAGATTCTAAAAAGAAGCAGGTCAAATAAAAATTTAAAGAACTTGCCAGGAATTTAGCTTAGTGGCATAAGCACCTGCCTGGCAAGCACAAGGTCCTGAGTTGGATCCCCGTAAAAATCCTCAACCAAGAATTTAAAGCACTGACATATTGAGATACCCTAAACCCACAAGTATGAAGTTTTTAAAAAATCAGATCATGCGAGGCTGAATTCACTCATTTTCCACATTTATTTTGAGTTATGAAGAAGGTGAGGTTCATGTACATCATTTTTGTTGTTGGCAAGCATTCAGATCCCTTCAAAAAGAGATTCTTGCATTAGAGAGACAGACAGACAGACAGAGATCCAGTGTTTGTTTTACAAATGAGGCAAACAAGGCTTTTACTGCCAAAAAAGATGGCAAACAAGACTTTTCTGCCAACAGTGGCTAGACTACGAGGTGAGAGTAAAAGGAGCACTGTTAACAGTACTAACAACCTCTGTGTGTCACTCTGTTGGCCTAACTCTGCCAGTCTTAAGTAGTGTCTCTGAAGTTCCTGATAATTTTTTTGACTTTTATTAGTATGTGTTTGCAGTACTGTACATGCATTTCAGTTCCTTTCTCCCCCCACTCCCCATACCCTTTTTATTTTTCCAGCATCGACTTCATTTATTTATCTTACTGGACCTTAAAAAGGTAATTATCATATATACTGATTGAAAAACCAGACTAATAGGCTAAAGAGCATATAACACAGGTAAAACAGTTGTATTAATTCAAGATATACTTTTAAGTACATTGTCTACACTAGATTATAATGCCTTTTTTCTATTATCTATTATTTCATACTTTATTTAAATATTGCATGTTTCTTTTTTTTCTTGTCATCACTTTCTTTTTTTTTATTTAAAGAAAAGGAAACGAAAAAAAAATACATGGAGATAAAAAAAAAAAGGGTAGAAATAATACTAAATTACAGACAAACAAAAGGTAAGAAATTGCCGGTTGATAAGTTACAAATTGTCATCTTCGAAATGGCTGTTCAGGTTATAGAATTAAAGTATTTAGAATGACATTCAAAAAAGTGACCCTACAAACCATTCTGCTCTATGGTCGAACAAAAGCTCCGTAATATGATTATCAGTCCCACCTATTTGTTTTACATCTCAAAGAGGGTAAGGTTAACCATATCAAAATAGAACAGAACATTTAAAAAAGAAAATAAAAAACAATTTAAAGAAATACAGATTTCAAAGCAAGTCCACTGGAGATCTACCTTATTTAACTGTCTCTAGCTTCTTACAAATAGTTGTCCCTAACTTCACCCACTTTATATACTTATTGCATATTATAGAACTAATCAAATCATTACAGGATGATGGAGTCTTTTTAGGTCCTCAAGTTCCAAATTAGGGAAGACAATAGCAACTACCATCGCATCTCTCATTCTCTTTGTGATAGCCGTCCCCATCTCTGCATATGCTGAAGTTGAGCTGAAGAAACCAGTCCAATGTAATTCTAATCAGCAAGCAATAGATTGCTAGAATTTATATTATAATGCTACAAAATAAGCCTCGGGTTTTTCAGGTCTCTTCCTCAGAGTATTTGTTCCTATCCTCTCTGTATTATAGGGAAAACCAAGTCATAACAAGACAGCAAAACAATTTCCTGGAAAAACATGCAATGGATAAGACTTATAAAACTATAATATAAATGATCTTCCGTAGCTACTATGTTTTCTCTTGTTATTTTCAATAGATTTGTCCACAACACTGGCTTATTATAGTTAAACATACTATCACCTATTTTTATAAAAACTTATCTTTGACTGCATTGTAGTATTTGAGAGCTGTTACTGATTCATACCAGTATGGATATCCTTTACATCTTGTCAAAATTTTTTTTTTGTCTTTTTCCTTTTTATCGGTACCAGGGATCGAACTCACGACTGCCTGCTTGCAAGGCAGGTGCTTATGCCGCTGAGCTAAATCCCCAGCCCCTGCATGTTTCATATAAGAGAAACATGAAGTATTTAACCTGTGTATCTGAGTTACTTCAATTAGCGTCATAGTCTTAAGGTGCATCCATTTATCAAAGTGCCTAACTTAAGTTTATCATTTTTTACAGCAGAGTAGTACTCTGTTGTGTATAGTTACCATATTTTTTAATCCATTTATCTGTCGATGGACATGTAGACTGTTTCTAAGGTTTAACTGTTAGGAATTGCACTGCTATAAATATTATGCATGTATCACTGTGGTATGTTTTTAACTCTTTTGGGAGGAAAAACTCAAAAGGAGAATAGCTATTTCAAATGGAATTTTCATACTGATTTCTGTGGTGGTTGTATCAGTTTTCAAAACTACTAACAATTGGGAAGAGTTCCTTTCTCCCTACAGCCTTGCCAGTATTTGTTATTGGTAGCCATTGTTACAATGGAATTTCAGTGTTAATTTGCATTTCTTGGGAGGGCCAGTGATTTTGTGTGTGTGTGTGTGTTTTCTTTTTTTTTTTTTTTTTTTTTTTGAGTCAGGGTCTCTGTGTGCAGTTCAGGCTGGCCTTAAGCTCACTTTGTAGCCTAGGCTGGTCTCAAACTCACAATGATCCTCTTACCTCAGCCTCCCAACTGCTGGGATTACAGGCATGAGCCATCACACCCAGTTTGGGGGCCAGTGATGTTGAACATTTTTTCAGGTATTTATTAACTGTATTTCTTCATCTGAGAAGTGTATAGTCATCTCAGATGCCTAACTTTTGCATTTGGGGGAATCTAATTTTTAAAGTTCTTTTATTAGCCCTTTGCCTGAGTAGCTGGCCAAATTTTCCCATTCTATAGGTTGTCTCTTCATTCTGTTAGCAGTTTCCTTTGCTGTGCATTGATGATTTTATTCTAAATAGTCATGTTATGGCTTGTATTTAGATGTCTTCCCAAAACCTCTTGTGGTCATAGATGGAGCTCTCTCAGAGGTGTCTGGATCTAGAGTGTGTGATGCTATAACTGATTCATGGTGCAGCGCTAAAATCAAGGGCACTAGAATTGAGTTACCCTGTATAAGGGCTGTTGGTCATTCTTGGTTGCTTTGCTACCATCTGCCTGCTATCAACTGTTTCTCCTTTGCAGTGCTTATGGCTCCATGCCATTCTGCCTTGGAGCCAGCTGACTATGAAGTGAAGCCTCTACAAACCATGACCAACAAGAAAAGTAACTAAGACAGGTCCTAATTCTATTTGCAGTTAAATTCAAATCCTGAAATTTGCATTATTATACAATTATTAAAAACTGTCACTTTTTTGGCATTTTATATGTGCTAAGTGATCTGGAGGTGGTCTCTCATTTGTCTTTACAAAAAATCTGAGGATTTTACATTTTATAGCAGAAAAAGTAAAGCTCAGAGGGATTAGGTAATTTGTCCAAAGTCACATAGCTTTTGAGTGGCTGAGTTTTTTTAAACAGGTAAGATTTACCCTAATACTTGTTGCCACAGTTTAAAATTTGTATTTTATAACTTGCAAAAACATTTTCGTATCTATTGTCTATTAATAGATACTTCATATCTATTATTTATTTTATATTTCATATTTATTATTTGTTTGTCAAATAATTTTACTCCTTACTAGTGGTCCAAATATTACTTCATGGTGTATCTTTCTTTGGAGTTTTGTCCCATTTCCCAAAAAATGCTTTAGAATGTACTAGATTTTAACATAAGGAAGGTTTTAGTCTTAGCATTATTATTAGGTCACTTTTCCTAAATGAGTCAAGTTGTAATATTAGCTTGTTTTTTTTTATAAATTTTTTTTATTTTAAAGAGAATAAAACAAAAGAGAACAGAGCAAAGCAAATGAGAACAAAACAATGCAAGCAACACACTTCACAACAAGACATCTGGATATCAACAGTAGCTGTCGTGATGTCTCTTTTCTTTGAAATAGTTGAGCATACATTCACACACAATAATATCAAACATATCAAAATAATATAAAACCATTCAAGAGAATGAAAATATTACAGGACACTCAAAACCAAATAACTGATAATGAACAATGGCTACTATAACATCTCATTTTCCTTAAAGATTTGTTTATACTATCACACATATTAAAATTCATTAAGACATAACATGGTAGAATCAATGTAAACAGAAGAACAAAAGTATGGTAGGACTTCAAAGCAAGATGATATTAAATCAGCAATGGCTGCCATAATGTGTTTTTTCTTCAAAGTAGCTGTTCATACCATTACACATAATAAAATCAAACAAAACAATAAAACCATTCCAACCAATGAATGAAAACATTATAAGACTTCAAAGCCATATAATGGGGAACCATGGTTACCAGAAAATCTTATGTACTCTTACCATTTTTATACTAAATTATATGGTATTCATACATGTGAGTTTAATTTATT